TTAAGTGCTCATATACGTGTTAATTTGTTGAACGTATGATATTCGAGTTAATTATGTGCGTTGGATATATATTCGGGTGAATTTTGATATGTAATTGCCAATTGGATGCCAAAGTGATTGCCGTCACTTTGGAAAATTGTCGAGCTGAGGTTAATGTAGTATTTTCTGTGGAAGTACTGGGGATTATTGGACTTAGGAATGTCCTTGACGCAATGGCTTTAGCCTCGCGTCGTTTCGATGTATATATATTAAGATATGAATATTTGAAAAACTTGCTGCAGCCAGTTTTTGTTAAAATCACCATAATTCGTGTATTGCTCCAAAAATTCTGATTCTTGGATATATGGTTATATTGCGATTATATTACTTGTGATTAAAATTTGAGATTTTTATGTGATCTGTAGCCTTATCAAAACTCGAAAACTATTTCTGGGCTGTTTTGTAATAAATTCATATAAAATCGATTTCTTATCTAAAATGACTAATTTTTGGATATGTTGCTTCTCTTCATGAAATCTTGCTGCTGTAAAAATTTTAAATTAAAATTCGGACTGTAGCTATTTTAAATGATTTAATTCGATTTCTAGTCAGATTTTGCTTAAATTACTTAAAATAGTTAGAAGCATGTTTAGGGACTTTCCTTTGGTGATAATGTGTGATTTTCAGCAATTTATATGCTGTAAAAATTTGAATTTTGAAATTCCAAGCCTAACCCCTTATGGTCCGATTCTTATGATTTTGATCTAGACATTTTTTTAACTGTTTTTGGCCTTGTTGGCAATTGCTTGACTCGTTGACCCCGTTTTTGTGTCAAATATTCATTACCTACTTTTATATGATTTATTAGTTGGTTGGTCGAGTCTAGAAGTCGTCCTAATGTTCCAACTCCACAACTTCCACGAGTTTCTTAGTCAATGTGATTCGACTAAGTATAATTCTCGTTATCTGTATAAGAGTCGAGATAGTTGCTTATGGGACTGTCTTGACTTATGTAGGTGCCTGACGAGCAGTGTCTCAACCACCTACGACTTTCCGGTTATTTGCTTTATCATTCAACACTAGGTGGGTTTTATTTGAAAATTTGCTATGCCGTAAATAATTTATTTGTTGTTGGGTTGGTATGATCAATGCATGTTTGTGAATTTGTGTAACCTTCGATGTGAGCTAGATGTCCTTCGAATTGTTGTCCCCGTCGTTGAGAGTTGTATGTCCTTCGACGGTGCCTTGTGAGGCAATCTCCCTAAGTCCTAATGATAGGCCATACCATTGAGAGCTGTATGTCCTTCGGTATGCACTCCCATTGTTGAGAGATGTATGTCCTTCAATGGCTAATGATAGATGTGCACATGAGTGCGGTTATTGGTGTATTAATTTGATATGTGACATGATGAATTAATTTATGATCATGCTGTGACCATACCCTTGCTATATTATGTTGTTATTTACGTGCATAGTGGTGAGCACAACAGTTCATCGTGCTCACTCCCACCTGCTCTTCATTGATGCAGGTTAGTATTGCGGGCACGGGAGAGGGAGGTGAGTGGTGGTCTATAATTGAATGTTGCTTCCGCCTATTGAATTGTCTTATGATATTATTGCGTTTTGGAATAATGGATATTGTATTATTGAGATTTGAATTATTGTTATGGAGATTCTCCTTATTTCCTTTCGAGGATTTATGATTGTTTAAATGAGGAATGATGATTGAAGATGGAGAATTGCGATTAATGTTGATTATTGGAAATCGCTTTTGAAAATGAGTAACGCCTCAATTAGTAATGAAATAATTTTGAAAAATTTATTATGAATTTCGTCTATTAAAAGTGGGGCGTTATAGTTTGGTGTCAGAGCCAGTCTGCGTTTCTGTAGACTGGTTAATGTGAATTATGAGATCATGTTCTTTGACCTTAAGTTATGACCACTCGCTCTCGTCGTGCCACGCCAGCTCAGGTATGAGTACCTGAACGATTTTGAGATTATTGTGCCTTGTTTGAATGAATATTGATTATTGAAGTGAAATCGGGGCTTAGGAATTTAACCTCATGCTTTTTAAACATTCTTGAACTCTAGTGGTATAGAGTTAAGTTCTTTCTTTATAAGTACTGGTTGAGAATTTCAGTGTAATGGTTGAATCCTTCCCCGTTTAAATTCGTTCATTCTTTTCACTGGTAGAATTTGAAAATTTGTTGGTCGGGTATATATTGATTCGTATACTCTCTCTATGCGTTGGTTGTTTTTTTCTTGAATTTGTCGTGGATAT